AAAAAAAAAAAAAAAAACCAGTTTCAGAAGCATTCCAAACTCTGTCGGAAACATATGATACATATTCCTATGCTAAAGACTTCTAAAATCTACAATAAAGATCTTGGCTTTTTGACCAGCTTAAGCAAGCTTGAGATCCTGTTTCTAAAAAACAGAAAAAAAACTAAGGTCACCATGGGTACCTGTAGTTCCATCTACTTGGGAGACTGAGACAAAACGATCACTTGAGCCTGAGAGGTTGAGGTTGCTGTGAGCTGCAGTGATGCCACAGCACTCTACCAGGGCGACAGAGTGAGACTGTGTCTCCAATAAAAGAGCTTGCTTTTTTTATTGTCTGGCATTTTCTGAAATTAACCACATATTCATGTTATGCCTAGTCATATCATGAAAAACTAATATTTTGCAGAACATTTTTTGAAAAACCCTAGTCAATTCCACAAGAACTTAGAACTTTGGGGAGCTGTGCTATTTCTGACCTTAGTGAAAATTAAAAACAAATACACTAGTTGGAGGCGTGTCGGAAATTAAGCTAACACTATGTAAAGCCTGTATGTAAAGCCTGTTCTAAGGCAAACAAAGCCAATACTGGTTATTTAGGGTCTGAACAGGAGTTACCTGTAGATGTTGGGGCAGGGGCCAGGCATGGTGGCTCATGCCTGTAATCCTAGCACTCTGGGAGGCCGAGGCAGGTGGATTGCCTGAGCTCACAGGTTTGAGATCATCCTAAGCCAGAGTGAGACTTTGTCTCTAAAAATAGCCAGACCTTCTGGCAGGCACCTGTAGTCCCAGCTAGTTGGGAGGCTAAGGCAAGAGGATCACTTGAGCCTAAGAGTTTGAGGTTACTGTGAGGTATGATGCTACGACACTCTACGGAGGGCAACAAAGTGAGACTCTGTCTCAAAAAAAAAAAAAAATAAAAAACACAGGAGCAGAGCTGAAGAGTGAGAGAAATATGATGGCTTCCAGGAAATTTTCCCAAATCTAAAGGAGAGTCAGAAATTCAGTGAAAATCTAGTTGAGGGGAAGTTATATGACTCAACAGCATCTGCCTGAGATATAATATCTGAAATTTTGTTGTTCTCACCCGTTAAATTCAAAACCCAAAGTTTGGGGTTTGGCTGGCTTAGTGTTTAAAAGTTCTTTTTTCCAGGAGACACCTGTAGTTCAAGAAATAGGGTGCTGTCCCCATATACCAGGGCCAGTGGGTTCAAGCCTGGCCCCGGCCTGCTAAACAACAATGACAACTGCAACAACAACAAAAAAAGCCAGGCGTTGTGGCAGACACCTTTACTGGACTTCTCCCAGAAAGGATCAACAGGTAGTCAGTGCAATATTCAATCCATAGACTTGAATGTTTCAATTTCACTTTTTTGCTCTCCCATTTTACTGTGTCATTTGTGTAGTAAAAATACTAGAATTTAAGGTGGAAGTCTACTTCATCAATTTTTTTACTGCTAACTCAAGGGAAACAGGTTGTTGAAAGGGCCTTTGTCCCTCACAAAGAGACTATGAACTGAGACAGTGTTAGTGAATGATGATAAGTCTTTGTATGCAATTCTATCACAGCCAAGGGGCCTTTGACTTTCTCAGCATTCATACTCTTAACACTAAAGGAGGACTGGAGCTGTTCTTGATTCTTTTTAAAGCCATATGACCGCAAGCTATTTTCCCCCTCCTCAAATTACTGATAGTATTTTGAATTCCTGTTGGAGGGTTAATGTGTGGCTGTTAGAGTGTCATATAAGGAGTCAGGGCCACAGTTTGCTGCTTCTGTCTGTGTCCTTAAACAAGTCGCTGCCTGTCTTCCAGCCTCCATTTGCCCATGTGAAGAATGGGGGAATTTCCTCTTTATGAATGATGAAGCAGAAGAAACCCTATATGGTGGGAGATTAGGGAATACAGTGTTTCTAGAGTTCTTCAGTAAAGATCCAGCCTGCTAGTTCCCAAAAAGACTGGGAATGTCATCATTGAGTCTGCTTTCTTTGGGACTTCAGGCAGGGTAGCTCAAGGGAGTGGGGGAGGTAAGGAGTAGCAGTGTGTTCTATAGCCCAAAACTACCACAGCAAATGTCCTTCATGCATTTTGGATGAAATAAGAGTGGATTCTGGAATTTTTGCTGATTTGGAATGATTTGTGGTCAGTTTTGAACTGCTCAGCTCTAGTAACCTGGTTCTTTAGGACATTGTCCACTGCTACATGTTTATCTGTAATTTCCTGATGATTGTATCCTGGAGTATGATGCATTTTTACCTTGGGATTTATTAAACATGACCTCTTTACTTCCTTAGAATGTAGAAATTAGTGTTTACTTTCTCTAAAAGTAGGCAGTAAGCTACTTTTCCCTTACAGAGTTAATTTTCTTCAGCTGCTAAACCCTATGACACTAATGATGAGTCCTCAAATCTTAGTAAAATTGGGTACAAAGAAGCAGGAAATATAGTAAGTAACAATTATACCAAAAATTATAATGGGCCATGGAATTGCTTCATGTTAAAATTATAAATAATCTATAATGCTATTAATACTAGAATAATGGTAGCGCTTCTCATCTTCAGGGTGCCTCATGAGATTAACCATGGTGGTTATGCTGGTGACGTGTTTAAATAAAACCTGTGCTTTCTGAATGTGTGTTGCAGTCTTAACATTCTTGAAATCTTTGCAGACCAGTTCTCAAGATGGGATAGGAAAGCTGGACTCTAGGTTACCAAGTGAAATCGGCCCGACTTCTCCTGTGTTGAGACTAGTCATCTACTGTTCCTTCCATAGAGACAGAACTGTTGCCTGTGTTTTTTACTAGTCCTGTTGAATGCAATGGATGGTATTTTGAATTCCTGGGTTAAAAACAGAATTGAAAATCTGAAATGCCTTTACAGAGCGGGCAGCTAAAGTTGCTGAGCAGCAGGAGAGAGAGCGAGCAGCACAGCAACAGCAGCCGAGTGCTTCTCCCCGAGCAGGCACCCCTGTGGGGGCTCTCATGGGGGTGGTGCCACCACCAACACCAATGGGGATGCTCAATCAGCAGTTGACACCTGTTGCAGGTAAAAACAGGAGCTAAGACCATTTTTTTCCACTTTAAGAAATTCCTTCATTTTTTTTTTTTCTCCAATGAGGAGTAGGCCACAATCTGTAGCCTTTTCTCATGACAGATTCAGAGTCTGAAGTCATCCATGTCGTCCTATATTACCTTTCCCATATGGGCAGTGTTTCCTCTCTGCCCTAGAAATGGGCCGTGGACCCAACCCTGGGAACTGATAGGGAGCAGCTCTCCCCTGGCTGTGGGCATGGTCTGGCGATGTTCTCCACCCCAGATTACTCTTCATAGAGTACTATAGCAGAAAGCATAAATAGACCCTGATTCTCTTCTAGAGAAAACACAAAATCAGTCTTTAGGGTTATGGATTTTCCCCTGTCATTCCAGTATTCAGTTTGCCTTGTTCTGCTGCAGCCATCCTTAAAAGACTGACCATTTCAAAGGACTTTTTGACAATGAATTGTAAATCCTTTCTTGTTACCAGTGTGCATGACTGCTAAATAGAATACAAAGTCCTTATTCAATTCATTGTGCCCACTCTGTAATGCTTTTCTATTTAATTACATTAAACTGCATTTTCTGTTAGTATCCCAGTCACATATTTAAAAAAAAAAAAATGATGAATGTGGTTTGCTTGTGTGTGTTGTCTCTGGTTTTGGTAGCCATAGCAAATTTGACTCTTCTTGAATTGCATATACTTGTCTGACGTGTCTCTTATGAGAAGCCTGCAGACCACCTCTCAGGACCCTCCTTTGAGATCTCTCTGAGCCTAATGAGGTCTGTACAAGCCACCTGTGTTTCTTCTTAAGCCATCAGTCTGACCTCTTTCACAGGGAGTCCAAGACAGTGTTGTTCAAGGCAGACTCGTTGGGATGCTGTTTTTGATTTTGCTGATTATGTTTTTGCTTTTTAAGGAAGAGTAGCATAGGATAACTTTTCCATTGTCGCTCCTAACTTTTGTGATGGCAGGTTCTCAAATGTACTATCGCTGAACTCAGCAGTTGCACTCGCCAAAGCACATCTGAATCATGGCTTTCAGTACTTTCAGTGTAACTGATATTGATCTAACAAATCTCATAATCGCCTGCTCTATTCCATGGCCCATTTTGGTTAATGGGGTTCCAGAGGCTTTTACTAATCAGGCCTTGAACATGGGGACTTTGAAAGTTAGAATTCCCTCATTGACATCCTGTTTTGTTCAATTTGATGTGTGATACTGTGGCATTGTGCCCTTCAAAACCCAGGAACACATTAACAAAATGAATACAAACAGCTAAAAATATTTTAAAAACAGCAGCTGCAGCATTTTAGCTCCCTGTTGGGGAATAACATCATAGAACTGTATGGATGAGGAGGGTCAGCCCTCTAGAAAGCCCCTACTCCATTATTAAGGGTGTAGTGGCCATACTTCTGGGCCATGGGAGTGAGGGCAAGCATTCTCTACAATAACCAGTCTTTGGTCCTCAGTGGGAACTTTGCAGCTAAGAGGATGATTTTTCATGGTCTTACGGGTTGTTTAGGGCCTGAGTTTTAGCCTTGTTGCTGTCTGAGACCAGCTTTGCTTACAAGCATTGAAGCTCATTTGAACACATGTGACTGGGATAATAAATACCAAAGTACAGTTTAATGAAGACAAGTGTCATGTCTTTCAGTTTTTAATAATTGCTTCAAGCACAGCCCATGAAGGCTGCGTTCAGATGGGCTTTTGTAATTGAAAGCAAAGCCTCCTACCATCTTTAAATTTCCCACCTACTGATCCCTAAAAGCTGTAACTGGTGGTATGGTTAAAAGGTAGCTTGGAAATATTAGATCTCCTTATGTTTAAGATGATGGTGTCTGTTCAAAAGTAGTTTTTAACTTTCTGAACTCTAATTTTTAGAAAATGAAACTTACAATTTTATTTCATGTATAAAGATACTATCATTTAAAGTTTTGCTATATTGGCTTATGCAAGTATAAGTTTTTTAGTCAGCTTAGATATGACTAGTGAAGCAGAGTGAATCAATCTCAGAATTTTCAATAATTTCATAGCTTTAAAAGACTATAAACTTTTGTAAATAAACACCTAAAAACAATTCTTCAGCCAGGTGAGGTGGCTTATGCCTGTAATCCTAGCACTAGGGGAGGCTGAGGCGGGTAGATTGTCTGAGCTCACGGGTTCAAGACCAGCCTGAGCAAGAGCGAGACCCCCGTCTCTAAAAATAGCTGGGTGTTGTGGCGGGCACCTGTAGTCCCGGCTACTCGGGGACTGAGGCAAGAGAATCCCTTGAGCCCAAGAGTTTGAGGTTGCTATGAGCAATGGTGCCATGGCACTCTATAAGGGCCACAAAGTGAGACTCTGTCTCAAAAAAAAAAAAGAAAAAGAAAAGAGAAACAATTCTTCAGAAAAAGTCAAAGAGTAAATTTTCTGAATTTGCAGTTTTCTACCTTTTCCCAGACCCCCCTCCATAGAGAATATTTTGTAAAAGTGAAGTTTTGCACCAGTTCCTCAACCCACCCTTTTTGAGGAGCTATGACCAAAGATGACTGCATTTGGGGGGGAGCTTTGTGTTCTTATTCATCATGATCATTACAAGTCCCAGAAAAGTCAAGTTGTTTTTTTTTTTTTTTAAAAAGTGCCATGTGGTTTAAAGGTCTTTTGATAGGTGAGTCCTTGACATTTTGAAATTATTTTCTTACTTTTACTCCTTTTGCCAAAAATACTTGTTTGCTAAAACTCTTCCCCAGCCAGCAAAAAAATGTTTTGTTATGTGAAGGTGCACTTTGAAAGTTAAGGAATAAAAACTCTGTTTGGAGAAATGTTTTACTTTAATTGAAATGTTGCCAGGCATGGTGGTTCATGCCTGTAATCCCAGCACTTGGGAGGCCAAGAGGGGGGTGGGGGTGGATTGCCTGAGCTCACAGGTTCGAGACCAGCCTGAACAAGAGTAAGACCTCATCTCTAAAAATAGCTGGGCGTTGTGGCAGGCGCCTCTCAGTGACTTGGGAGGCTGAGGCAAGAGAATCACTTAAGCCCAAGATTTGGAGGTTGCTGTGAGCTGTGATGCCACAGCACTCTACCAAGGGCTACAAAGTAAGACTCTGTCTCAGGAAAAAAAAAAAAAACGCTCCCTGTTAACTGAAGGTTTATCTGAGGATACTTGTGAGCTTGGAGACAGTGATGACAACTGGCATTTTCTCATGTCAGCAGAGCCTGATTCTCCAGCTGTTCCTTCTTAAGGTCTGTGTGTAGGCTCCTCAGTAACCTGAGCTTTGGTTGGCTTGGGAAGGTTAAGGTTTTACCTTTATTTTATCACATTTTAAGATCTAAGGTGAAACATTTGCTGTGATGATCTTGGAGGCTAAGAATGAGTACAACCCATTCTTACCAGCAGTAGTGGGGTTAGAAGGGGAGGAGGAATAGATGTAGAAATCTTGAAAAATTCTTGCCCCCAAGCTGGAGAACCATGCTTTGTGATCAGGACTGTGCACCTCATTTCCCTCCATTCCGGTTTCTCCTCATGTGTACCCATGAAAGGCATATGAGTGTGGGCAAGTGGAATGATGGTATTTATACTATTTAATTAGAATTGAAGTCGGCAGAACTGGTCACTGTTTGAACAGCTTGCAGTAATTATGACCTTGGGAAGGCTGTTATTAGAATTCTGTTATTTAACTGAAAACATGCAGCATATTTATCCAATGGAATATAACCACAAATAATGTACTAAGTACTAATTCATCCAGAAATGTTGGGTTTCATATTTGTAACTTTTTATTTTGTTCATTATTGCAACAAAATAATTGTACTAATTGCTGTTATATCATGCAGTACTAAGGGTGCTTTATTCATTGGTAGTGCATGTGGGAGGGGTTGTTATTACTTAGCTCATGTTGCATGTTAATGATGCATGTCTGAAATTTGTTGTGTCCTTCAAGGCATGATGGGTGGCTATCCGCCAGGCCTTCCACCTTTGCAGGGCCCAGTTGATGGCCTTGTTAGCATGGGCAGCATGCAGCCACTTCACCCTGGGGGGCCTCCACCCCACCATCTTCCGCCAGGTGTGTCTGGCCTCCCGGGCATCCCACCACCGGGTAAGAACTTCATCCTCATTCACTCATTAACGTCATCTTCATGTTCTCTTTTTCCTCCCTCAGCCAGTTGTTCCAGGAGACACCTGCTGCCCAGTGTGGCCAGGCCTTCCCTCACTGAGAATCCCAGGCTTGTCAGCTGTAGGGCCTGTCCTGTGCATTGAGCAGGTGGCCCAGCATTTATGCCTTTGTGCACCTGACTGCCTGGCAGCAGTACAGGACACATGGCAGGCCAGACTTAGCAGACCAAGGGGCAAGAGGTGTCTTGTTTAATCACTTAAGCAATTTGATATATGCTTTAAAAGCCAGCAGCCTAGAAAGTCATGCCCTCCCATCAGTAAATAAAGTTTCCCTGATAAAGCTGGTGCAGTGGTTCACACCTATAATTCCTAGCACTCTAGGAGGCCGAAATGAGTGGATCTCTTGAGCTCAGGAGTTCAAGACCAGCTAGAGCAAGAGTGAGATCCCATCTCTATTTTAAAAATAGAAAAATTAGCTGGGTATCATGGCTTATGGCTGTATTCCCAGCTACTTGGGAGGCTGAGGCAAGAGGATCACTTGAGCTCAAGAGTTTGAGGTTGCTGTGAGCTATGATACCATGGTGTTCTAGCCTGGGGCAACAGAGTGAGACTCTGTCTCAAAACACACACACACACACACACACACACACACGAAGAGAAAGTTTTCCTGATAAATTACTAGTTCAGAGTCGCATATAAAAGCACTTTTTGCTCCTGAGTACATTTCTTCCTCTAGTGTCCTTTTTTTTTTTTTTTTTGCAGTTTTTAGCCGGGGCCAGGTTTGAACCTGCCACCTCTGGTATGTGGGGCCAGTATACTACTCACTGGGCCACAGGTACCACCCAACTCTAGTATAATTCTTATCTCACAGCAACCTCCAACTCCTGGGCTCAAGCGATTCTCCTGCCTCCGCTCCCAAGTAGCTGGGACTACAGGCGCCCACCACAACGCCCGGCTATTTTTTGGTTGCAGCCATCATTGTTGTTTGGCAGGCCTGGGCTGGATTTGAACCCGCCAGCTCAGGTATATGTGGCTGGCGCCTTAGCCACTTGAGCCACAGGCACCGAGCCTCAAGCAGTTCTTCTAAGAGATTACAAAGTCTCGAATGTAGAACTCTTCAGAAATCCTCAGGCCAAGCATGGTGACTCATGCCTATAGTCCTAGCACTCTGGGAGGCCGAGGCAGGTGAAATTGCTTGAGCTCACGAGGTTGAGACCAGCCTGAGCAAAAGTGAAACCCTGTCTCTACTAAAAATAGAAAAACTGAGGCAAGAAGATTGCTTAAACTCAAGAGTTGGAGGTTGTTAGGAGCTATGATGCCAAAGCACTCTACCCAGGGTGACAGCTTGAGACTCTTTCTCAAAAAGAAAGACATCCTTCACTCAGTCTAACTTGTGCAAAAAGGAGGGAGAGAATGAATTTGTACTGAATTAGTTTTCTGTGAGTCTCCCCAAAAACATGACATAACATTTTAAAGAACTGCCTTACTCTCTCTCCTACCTATAGACACTGGTTTGTCTGTCAGCAATACCTCAGAAGTTCTTTAGAAATACAGAGTCCTGAAATAGCTACATTCAGTTTCACTTTATAATGAATTAGCAAGTTGAAAGATTATTTTAAAGAAAACTTAAAGGAAAATCACAAGTTTCCATATTAATTGCCATCACATGCAAAAACCTCAGCTGTAATCTAATTGGAGGGAATGTGACCATTATATTATTTGGAATAGCATCTGGTCCATTATCTAAAACACCAGCTAAGGGCCCAACCCAGTTGATATGCGGATGGAAACTTGGTAGATTTGCTTACCAGTGTTGGACTTAACCAGTGATAGGGTTTCATAGGATCACATGCTTCAGACAAGGTGGACCCAGCAGTGCACAGTGTGAGCAAACCTGGCAGCCTAGCCTGAAGCCTCCAGGCACAAATCTTTGTAATTGTTGCTTAGAGTATGGCCATAACTCCATAGAAGCATTTACTCCAGATGTTTCCAAGGGAGGAAATGTTCATGGAGGTGGATGCTTCATTATGGAAATGGTAGTCTACGTGTGAGTTGCTATTGCAGCAGGAGTCAGTCATAAAATAGGCAAGTAGACTTTGATCTTAATTCTTTGCCCTCTCACCTTGGCACAGAGTATCTTAATGAGTCACTAAGATCAGGGTGAAGGTGACACCATTTAGGTGCATTTAGTACTCAGTGGGAACTATGTCTAAGGCCATACTCTCTAGATAGCAGATGACTTTTGGTGGATGTTAGAGTGTAGCTTTCTTACTTTCCCCCTTCTTGAGATTCTAAGTTAAATTTTAAGGAAACATAACACATGTAGTTAAAAACAGGGAAATAGGAAAGAACTCCTCTTAGTGCTTACACATGCACATGTATGATCAGACTTTGGCAAGAAGATGATTCAATGACCATTTCTGGTGACTCAGCTCACAATCTCACTGGCATGCCCCTGGCATGGCATTTGTAAATAGAGGAAATAAGGGACTCGGCGCCTGTGGCTCAAGTGGCTAAGGCGCCAGCCACATACACCTAAGGTGGTGGGTTGGAATCCAGCCCAGGCCCGCCAAACAACAATGATGGCTGCATCCAAAAAATAGCCAGGTGTTGTGGTGGGTGCCTGTGGTCCCAG